ATAGAAGAGGAGAAAGTGGGCATCCTTGTCTTACTCCTTTGGTTATATCAATTTTTTCTGTCATTTCATCATTTATAATTACCCTAGCTGTTTGTTTAGTATATATTTTCTCAACCATCTTTCCAAATTTTGTCCCAAAATCCATACAGTACAATTGTGTTTTAATAAACTTCCAATTCAGATTATCAAATGCCTTCTGTGCATCAAGAAAAACCAGTGTAGCTTGTCTTTCAGGATGGGCTTCATAAAATTCTAAAGTGTTTTTTCATGTTAAAGTAGGCTAAACTTTTACTTAAAAATATATTTAAATAAAGGCCTTTAAATAAATACTGCAGTTAAAAGTCAGATAGTTTGTGTACAATTTTTTCTGGCATTATTACTCAGAAGCACTAATTTGAACAGCAGATTGACAATCTAATGCTAATCGCACTGGATCATAAGCAATGCTCAATGGTGGCAATGCTTTGAATTAAACAGATTCTATTACAAAAAATAAGAATTTAGGAAAAGCAATAATGCTATATAGGGTTCCTCCCCCTCCCAAATCAGCTTTGTAACAAAGTTCTACATACAGATAAGGTGTGGCCCTACTCATAATGCAATCTCCTTTGCCTCCAAAGTGCAGCCACCCAAACATTGCCCACTTCATGAGGCATCACAGGCCTTTCGGAAATGAGTGTTATTCTGGATGCTAATTCTTTTTTTTTTTCACAGCTTACTAAGTCCCTTTTAAAACTGAATTTTAAAAAGTAGAAAGAATCAGGACGTCTGATAAATGTTAAGGAAGTGCTTGTGAGTTAAGTGGTCCTGAGAATGTTACGTCAAGAATCATACCTTTGCCGGGTATCACTTTATAGCTAGGATAGGCAATTACAGCATACACATAACACAGCTGCATCTATAAGCTCCTTTCAGTTGCTCAAAACATACAAGTACGGATAGACATATGCACACATGGAAACAAATAAAGCACTAAATATAACTTAGTATAGAACAGAACTATACTTTTCAATAAAAATCAATAAATAACTAGTGGATTTCTTCCATACATAATTGTGCAGTATTAAACTACAGCTTTAAAATCTCATTTAAACCACCAGTAATAGTAACTTTAAGACAAAAGATAGAACGAAGAAATAAAAAGCATCAAGAAAGATAAAATGCATTAAAAGACTACTTTTCATTTCTCACTCAAAAATAATTTTTAAATTGAAGGGTCCTTAATGCTCTCTGAGCTTGGTTGTTTTCTTAAAGAGGTTTCTTTACTCAAACATCATCAAACAACCAAGCTCAGAGAGCATCAAGGACCCCTCATTTCAACCCTGAGCTACAAATATTTTCATTTATTGACAACTTGTAAATTACATATTCCAGATATAGTACAATGCTGGTGTACCTAACTATAGCTTACATTCATTGCAACAACTATATTAATTACAAAACATTGCAGAACACAGTATCTTTCCCAAACAGACAAGACAGCTTCCATCAATAATGGAACATGTTGTCAACGACATGCTCATTAGACATGGAAGGACAATGAAGGGAAAAAGACCTACATGAACTAGTCAGACATACTATCCTCGCTGAATCAATCACTATGTTGCAGACAACAGGAATAGATACCTGAAGACAATCTAATGACATAAGTGGCATACGAAGTTTGGGGCGACGACGCAGGTGCCCACAGAGAGGGCTCTGAGTGCCGCCTCTGGCACCCGTGCCATAGGTTCGCCACCACTGCTATAGTCTGATGTGACACAATGATATACCATGTTTGTTATTGTCAAAATGTATATTGTACCAACATCTGTATATACATCATCTGATAATTTACATTAGAATAAAAAACCTTTTCTTCGCTACCTGTTATTCCCTTAGGACAGACATGTCAAACGCGCGACATCACGTGACGTCGCGCGACATCTCAGAACTTTTTTTTCCATTGCTGGCAATGGGGTGGGCACGGTTTCATCGTAAGGCATCCGGCCCATGGGCCGGCCGTTTGACACCCCTGCCTTAGGAAATCAGGGTTCAAATGCCACATTTATATAAGGCAGAATAAAAACAGAGTTGAATAAGATTAGAAATGACATATATTTTAACTATAATAGTTATTTCTAGATCCACCATAATCTCAAACTTCTGAATGTTCAAGCCCTTCTGGGCATGATTTCTTCTGATCATGCACAGCTATCACTTTTCCAAGTCAAAATTAGCAGGTCTGATTATTATTCAGATATTATTATTCTACTAGGTCTAATTTCTATAAATATTTGATGCAGTTTCTCCTCAGGTCAGGATCTCTCTTGTGTTGTAAGGTCCAGTATCATTATAATTTATGAAAATGTATTTGAAAAATGCAGAGAAAATTATTTGGTATGCATTATAGTACCATGAAGTCAATATATGCGGTCATCTTTGAGCAAATCCTGTGGCAAGTTTAAATGCCCCTTCCTTATCCTGATCAAGTTTTTTTCACATTAAAACTGTAATCTCTCAAATCTGGCATAACTTTCTTGATGAACAATATACCTTTATTCAATTTAAATCAACTCTGTATTTATAAGCTTCTTCAGAAACATCTGAGCTGAATTTTCTCTCAGTCAAAAATATCAGTAACTTCCAGTTTGAGAACCTTATTTTATTAAGTATTCAACAAAACTTTAAATGCTGTATTTGTTACTTTCTTGTAAAAATAAGGGATCTTAATCATTGCTCAGGCACAGTTCTATAAAACAGGGCTTTTCAACCTTTTCACCCATTGTACCACTTTTAGGATATGGCAATATCCGAGTACCACCAGTCGCCTAGCAAGGTGTCAAAAACTTGATGGCCAAAAAAAAAGGGGGGGGGAAAGTGATAAACTACAGGTAGTCCTCGACTTACAACAGTTCGCTTAGTGACTGTTCGAAGTTACAATGGCACTGAAAAAAGTGCCCCCCAAGCCACAGCCGAGCAAGACGCCTGCCCGCCCGGCAGCGCTCTTCCTCCTTTCCGAGGTTTTCATTGTTGTGAGCATTTCTGTTTAGGATTGGCAGCGGGGGTGGAGTGGGAGGGGGGGTGTTTGGTTTTTATTCCCCCCCCCCCGTCTGCTGGGTGGTTGCAGCAGGTTTGGGTCACTTCACATGACCCTGGGACACTGTGACCATCATAAATATGAATCAGTTGCCAAGCATCTGAATGTAAATCACAAGACCGCTCAGGCTTGTGCGGTGCTGCCACCGGTTCAGCTCATTCCCCTCCCCCACTACCACTTTTCTAGGATGGTCGCGTACCACCTGCCAGGCGCCAATGTACCAAAGGTGGTACCCGTACCACTGGTTGAAAAGCCCTGCTATAAAAGAAGGATCTTTGGTTGATTTAATGGCCCAGGGGCTATGTTTACCTGACAAACTGAATAACCAAGCCAGTTTAGCTTACTATATTTTGGAAATTCAGCCCATGTGGTTAGTTTGCAGCTTAGTGTTAAATTAATAAACTACAACTAAGATAAGTAAGCATGGTGTGAAATCTCAGCCATATTTATAGTCACTCAGTCTTTGAAGTATGACATAAAGCTGAAGGTAGGTGCTATCCATTACAGTACTGTTTATTCTTTTGCATTGCTGCTGGAAAGCCCCAGAAGTCTGGTCAGTATAATATGAAAGTTCTGCCAAGTGAAGCTTCATCCATCTTGAAATCTTTTTTACTAAAGTCTCAAGGAATATAGTTAGTTTTCTCTCAAGGATATGATTCCAAAAGACTGCCTTTTACAAGAAAGAAAAGACCAGCTTCTTGTCTACTTGATGAGATACCAGACTGAGCTTTAAAGGATTTAACCTTTGAATTGTTTGAAAGTCTAGTAATCTCTTGTCAACCTTCTGGCTGTGACGAGAGACATGAAATATCTGGATGGTACTAAAAGATTCTTATTGTCTCTTTGAACATATAACAGAATAACTGGGGTAAAATGGTACGAACATTTTTCTCAGGCTTTTAATGAGGTGTACACTACTATACCTGTTGAAAGAGGATAATTGTTTAAATTATGAAGTGACTTGATGGGGAGGGAGGCTGCAGAATCAGAACTGAATGTTCAAGTTAAGTAAAATTCAAATATTTGAGAGCTGCCCTGCTTTCCAATCTGAAGATATAATACCCTACAAAACCTTAATTTTGCCTTATGAATTAACAAAGTTGCCTCCTCAGCAGTGGGAAACATTTGTACTCTGGATATTGTTAGTTCTTTTTAAGCCACAATAAGCCAAAGTAAAGGAAGAGATACATACAGAAGCATTCCACCAAACCAATTTTATTTCAATATTTCAATCTATTGAGTTCAATCTTTATCCCCTTTTTATCTCATATTATGATCTTAAGCTTCTCTCCACGGCAACCAGATACAAAGAAGACTATGTTATGTAACTAAAAACAGCTACACAGATTATTGAAAACTGACTGCTCGGCACCTGGGATGGCACAACGTGTTAAAATTATTTGAAGTACAGGAACTCTGCATTTTCAGACCTTTCTTTCGTTATTAAAGGAGGCTAGGCTCTTTTTTTTTTCTGGTGCGATACACCTTTAATTGGGACGTGATTCACTTTATGGTGCAATTCCGCGCACGCTTCCTGGGACCGAATTCAAAAAGCTCGCCTCCCCCTCCCCCGCCACAGCGCCTCACTTCTCTTTCAACATGTAAGGTTATGTATTCCCTGAGCCAAGAACAGAGCCCGCTTCGTTTTCATTCCCCTAAAAAGGCAGGTGAACGACTCCTAGTAGAAACAAAGAGATGCCGTCGCCGCTAAAAGCCCGAGATAATAACCCGGGGTTCCCCCATTCGCTTTTTAAAGGATCCCTCGAAGCCACCCCACGGATGTCAGAGAGGAAAAAGAGGCGGCAGCGCCGGTCCCGCACTCACCCCTTCATAGCTGCTGAGGGCCCAAGATCTCGATCCAGAAGTGGCAGTCAGGCCGCTTCTCCCGCCACTCCACATGGGCCTCAGACCGTTCCGACCGTCCGCGCGAGTGTGCGCGTAGCCCCACCCCTTTTCCTGGCTCAACCTTTCACCCAACGCGAGGTAGGGTGACGCAACGTGACGTGCGACGGCCACCCGCTTCAGACGTAGACCGGGTCCGCTCCTACGCTAGACGTCACGCAAGCGCAGAACCTCCCCTACGATTGGCTGTGAAGGACGTGAGAATCGCATTCTCATTTACATGGTTCATTTCCGGGTTCTGGCGAAATAGAGTGTATTCTTTTCTCTTTTTCGAAAGAGTTAACAAAAAGACAACCAAAATGGGATGCGCATTTCACTTTAAAAAAAGGTTTTAATAAAGTAGATGTACCATAATTATAGTACAAACTTTCGGATGATCTCTACATGGCCACGAAGAGTTGCTTACCTAAAATAAAACCCGTACTTCAGCTTAATATGTATTGTTGTGTTTGTCCCATACAGTAAGAAAAAAACCGGTTAATCGGCGTATGTGACATTTTACGTTGTTTAGGTCGTGACTTGAATTTAAGGCATTTGTAGCTTATAATGTTTAGTTACAAATTTATACAAAAGTAGTTTTTCAGAGTTGCTAATCTATTGAGAGATGACTAATCATTGGTGCCAAGAGAGAACATCTTAAAATTAGTTGAGACTCCAAAACAAGTGAACAATTTCCTTTTTCGAAATAAAAGGAATCTTATAATAAAATATCACAAAGGAAACCCAGACTCTTAAAACTACCATCTCAAATGTAGATGGACCCAGGAAGGAGGGGGTGCGCCTCAGAGGAAAAAC